TGGTCTGCTGGAGACGGTCTCCAGCAGACCAGGGGCACCGGAGCAGCTTACGAACGGGGCTTTCTCGCCCCGACTTCCGGGGCGAGAAAGCCCCGTTCGTAAGTGCGGATCCGACATAAGTCGGATCCGCGTAAGTCGGGGACTGCCTGTATTTAAAATCAAGAGAGACCAGTTATACATTTAACATAATGCCACCCTATTCTATTGTCTCTCTGTAAAAATGCAGCCTTGACACAAGTGGGCACACTTCCATGAAGTTCAGTGGAAATGTGCGCCATTGATGTCAGTTGTGCATTTATTATTCAGGGCAGTATGGGAAACAAAGATGGAAAATGTTGTCATTTTAGCAGCTTTCGCATCAGATATCCCTCTGTTCCCCCGACCTTCAAATCACCTTTAGGCCCAGCCTTGCTACTGTTAGTCAGACAGCACTCCTGGTGAAGTAACTGGGTGTTTTACCTGAGCAGGGACCCACTATGGCCCTCTTTGCACAATTTCTAGTGCCACAAATTACATCATAGTTCATTCTGATGTCTGTCTCCACTGGTAGGCTCAGATGCCAGCTGTAATTAAAAATGTTTAAAAAATTACAATTCATTCATGCGTGATAAATGCTTCTTACCTTGTGAACTTTCAGATTGCTGAGCTGAGCAAAATGGGTGCAATTTTCTCCTCACACAGCAATTCATAGACGTGTCTGGCATCATGCAGCATTTTTCCACATTAAAGGGTAAATTTGCCTGCCCTGGTGTAGGAGCAGTGGAGAGTGCATAGATACCCTTGCCATCCTTAAGCTTATTTGGGCTGTAGTTCAGGAATAGACCTGAGCACACGAGTAATTTTGAGCAAATGAGTAAGTCCATGGAAATCAGTGAGATTAGGCTCATGCTTAGTTATGCATGTGCTTAAATATTTGGCTGAATGAGTACTTAGGGGAGGAGGCAGCAATAACAATCCACAGGTGCTGTGCAGGGCTACAAGGTCTACTTTGCAGCGATTGGGGCCTCAGCAGGGGAATATCTCTGCAATGCAAAGGAAGGAGATTGACTCCCCCATAGAACCAGCAGGCAGGGCCAGCTCGAGCCATTCATGAGCCCTGGGCAGCAGGCACGCAACACATGCGCGGCTCTGCCCCTGGGAGCACGGCGCATGTGCAGCCCCGCCCCCCAGAGCATGGCACACCTTAGAGCCCTGGGCAGCAGGCACGCAACACATGCGCGGCTCTGCCCCTGGGAGCACGGCGCATGTGCAGCCCCGCCCCCCAGAGCATGGCACACCTTACACCGCGCCTGATTGCAGCTCTAAGGGGCACCGCGTGCCCGAGGCCGGAGGCCACACGGTGCCTGATGGCAGCTCTAAGGGGCACCGTGCAGCCCCCATCCCCGGGCGTGCAGCACCCCTAACAGCTGCCATCAGGCGCCCCCCATAGGTTGGCGTCCCGGGCAGCTGCCCAGCTAGCGCCCCCCCTTAATCTGGCCTTGCCAGCAGGAGTGCAGATTGCACCTCTTCCAAAGGGTCATGTTTCCTGATTCTGAGCGAATTTCCCTATTCCCAGCACTCAAGTGGCACTGGAACTAATTCAGATCTCCTGTGTGCTGGTGTAAATTGGGGTAACTCCCCAAGAGTTGTGGGGAAACAACAGCATAAAACAGTGGTAAAGAAAGATCAAAATCACCTCAGTTCTTGTATTACACAGGCACATTCCCTTCCTCAGCACACTTTCTTGGCTCATGCTCTATGTAGCTCTACCCGCAAGGAGCATAATTCAGCTCTAGGGTTTTGGTGGTTTGTATTGAGTACACAGTTGGATACTATAAGTTATATAAACCATATTTTAAAATGTCCTTCTTTTATTCATTCATTGATTCTCTTCCAGTTCTGGTTGTGTGTATTCTTGCCTAGAAAACCTTATGAAGGCCTTGTCTCTTCTTCCTGGGGGATCGACACTGCAGAGATCAATCTCCCAGGAGTCAATTTATCAGGTCTAATAAGGACCTTCTATATTGACTGCTGATTGCACTTCCTTCGACTCCAGTACTCCACTGGGTTGCGAGAAGTAAGGGAAGTCGACAGGATTGTTTCTCCCATTTACCTTTTACAGTGGGGATGCCACAGAAATTCTTAAGTTGACTTTCTGTGATAGAGAAGACCTGGCCGGAGAGAGTGGGAGGCGCACATTGCCCTCCTGGAACAGAGCTCATCTTTGTCAGAGTCAGGAGCTCTCTTCCGACATGGAATTTCCTAGCCCCTCCAAAGAGCCATAGGGTTATTCCTTCCACTGGTCCCCATGCAAACCCATCCTGCATAGGGTTCTATCTGGGCTGTGCAGTGCTAGGCGAACTGACCCCAAATGCATATTTTAATGGATTATTTCCATACAATCAGTCAGTTCATGTGAGTGAATAATCTGAGAGCCAGCACTTCAAGAGCTCAGCTTGCTGATGCTAAAATCTTACAAAAACCTGGCCACAAGTGTCACAGTACTGGGTGTTTTTAATAATCTGGTTCTTATTTAGGCAATTTAACCAGCGCTAAGCTCTTATATATAAAAAAAAAACTGTCCCCAGCCAGTAGGCTGCACAATTTCAGCAATGCTTTCAGAGGCTTCTTTAAACTGATGCATTGAGTCGCCCTTCTTATTTCACATTTTTAGTCAATTACAGGGACAACCAGGATGAAATAACAATAACAATCTGTTCTGTGCCTGATAAAACATGCAGGTGCTTAAATACTTTGTTGTTTCAGGGCCTTAAATGTGTATGCCTCAGTTTCTACATCTATCAAATGGGGATAGCAATGCTTTTCCACTTCAGAGGGTGTTGTGAAACTAAAATTCATTAAGATTGATTTCACATTAAATAATTCTCCAGAGCTGGAAAGGGGGATTTACTGTAAATTCGAAGCAGGCCTAGAAGTGAAAGAAAGCGGGTGCACCCACGTGCACAGCTCTGGTAAGAGCTGGCTGAGCTGAAGCAAAAGCCAGCAGGGAGCTATGTAAAGAGCTGGCAGGGATCTGGGTTGCAATAGGACAGCTCCTGTAAGAAATTTTAAGTTACTTTCACTGCTGATCAGGCCCTAACTAATTTATCTTTCCAACACCATTAATATTAAGTAGGTAGCTGCTGCATGTTAAATGATGTGGGTCATAGGAATAGAGAGAGATTAAGGCAGATCCTCAACTCTGCAAACCAGCATCTGATTCATTTTTAGAGCTAGTAGGTGCCTCTACATGTCTCATTGCCAAATACACTTTAAATAAAAGAATAGCTAGAAATCTGCAGGAATAAGAAGGGAAAAAAAAGATGCTGTACGTTTTCCTAGTGTCACTCAGTGCAGAATAAAAATTGATAAAACCATATTAACTCTAATAATATGGTTTTTGGTTTTGTATGACTCTACTGAAAAATGATTACATATTTATCTATTGATTTTGTGGGATTTTATGTTCTATTATGTTTTATTTATTTATTTTGCAGAAGTACCAAAAACGGAGAAGACCTTTGAAGAGAGGTTAATTTTGAAGGCTTTCCTACTGAAGTTTGTGAACTCTTATGCACCAATTTTTTATGTTGCCTTTTTTAAAGGAAGGTAGGATGGATTTACATTGTTTATTTATTATTAATGGTCACATGTTGCAGGCTGCTGATCACAATAAGGCCATTGAAGGGTCTGAAGTGTCCATATTAGTACCCAAAATGGCAGATTAGCTCTAGAAGGAGTGAATCAGATTGGTCTGGAGCAATTGCTCTGGGATGAGAGGACATTTGGTGGACTCCTGATAAGTTTTGCTCCTAATAGTTGTAGTTTTCTATCCAGGATCCACTACCTTTCAGAACCTGATGGCCCATAAGGTAGCAGATCACAGAATCATAGAATACTAGTCTGAAAGGGACTTTGAGAGGTCACCAAGTCCAGGACCAAGCACCAGATCATCCCTGACAGGTGTTTGCCTAACCTGCTCTTAAAATCTCCCATAATGGAGATTCCACAACCTCCCTAAGCAATTTATTCTAGTGCTTAGCCATCCTGACAGTTTTTCCTAATGTCGAACCTAAACTTCCCTTGCTGCAAAGTAAGCCCATTGCTTCTTGTTCTGTCAGCAGAGGTTAAGGAGAATAATTTTTCTCTCTCCTCCTTGTAACACCTTTTAGGTACCTGAAAGCTGTTATCACGTCTCCGCTCAGTCTTCTCTTTTCCAGACTAATCTTTTATTTCCCAGAATCTTAGAGTGATTATTTGTTTTAAAAAAAGTTTCAAATATGTATTTCTGAATTCTAATTAGATTTCTATCATTTGTGTGCTCCTTTTATGTTTTACAAGCTGTTAATGTATATGTTAAGCTCTTTTGGGCATGGAGCATCTTTTTGTTCTATGTTTTGTACTTTGCCTTCGTCAATGACTAAGGCTTCTAGACACTACGGTAATGCGTACAATAAATAACATATTCTGAACTAATGCCGGGGTTCTCATCAATTAAACATATTTGTCTGAAAATATTTTATTTGCAATTTTTAAAGTATTATCTCAGATGGTGCCAAAAGACAAGGGAGAAAAATATTTTCTTGTCTTAAAAACATTATTTGCCAGTTTATTTATTTTCAATATGTATATACAGAATAGATCAGGTCCTGAAACTCCTAACGTGTAAATAAGTTTGCTCATTAGCACTACTTCCATGTATGAAGTTATTCATGTGTAACAGTTTATAGGATGAGAGCCTCAGTCAATTTTCTTATTTGTTTGTGAGGGTTTTAACCAGGGAAGAGGGTTTTTTTTATAAATATGAAAAGATAATTTTAAAACTGCAAAAATTGCAATAGAGATTCAGGGACAGGAGTAATATTTGAAATTCGGTTTAAAAAAAATTATCTGAAGCTGACAATGCTTTTAAAAATATATCATGTTAAAATGGTTAATTTGAAATGTAGTTTAAAATTGGTTGCTGTATATAAGCACTCATTCTGTTAAGGATAATTTTAATGCATTATTTCTTTTCACCATTTCATATATTTTATTTCTTTCAGGTTTGTTGGCCGACCTGGCAGTTATGTATATGTGTTTGATGGTTACCGAATGGAAGAGGCAAGTACAGATGGAATTCAAACAGCAAACATAGTTTAATAAGAGATATGGATGAGAGTGCTTTTCTAAGGAGTCTAGCTGACATCTGAAAAGAAATCTACCACATTTATTTCACCAAAATCCTATGCCTTCCAAGAAGAGAAAAGAAAAATTCAAAACAAAACTCAATCCCAATAATCTGTTTTAGATACTTACATGGCCTCCACCATCATAGTAACTGAGTGCCTCATAATACTTTGATCTAGTTATTTTTATAACATCTGAAGAAGGACTGTGCTATTCTCTCCATTTCACACATGGGAAATTGAGACACAGAGATGAAGGCACAGGCACTGACCTTTAGTTTTCATTGTGGATGCTGCACCCTCACTCAGCAAATACTTTAAAGACACAGAGTAGTCCCAGAGTACAATATAGTTTTTCAGAGTGCCTTACATGTTTTTAAGTGTTTCTTTTTTATTGGTTAAATTCAAATACAGTGAAACCTTTGTTATCTCGCACTCTGTTAATCAGAAAACTTTGTTAACCGGCATTGCCCCCAGCCATAATACTGTCACATCTTCAGGTGCACAGGCCTGGCTTGATTACCATGATTGGTTTAACCATTTTTTATTTAAGAAGTACTAATCTTCTTTACCTCAAAATAGTAATGTGAGATCAACTGCCTCACACTACAAAACTACCAATATTAAAAACTTGAGTTTTACTATTATTGTCCATTGGTTTTTCCTAGATCGATGGGACCCTCAGATAAACCAGAATTTTTAGATATCTGGAACGCCCTAATCCACAAGCGTGCCGGATAACACAGGTTTTACTGTATATGATTAGCAATTGAATTGGCATGACTGAGGGATTTGGTGTTCTGAAATGTCTTGATTCTGTGGTAGGGTGGGTTCAGATAAATGTAAGGCAAAGACAGTGCTGGGACAGAGCTTCCCCATGTCACGCAGCTATGTGGTTCTAGGCCAGTGTGGGGGAATGGCAGGGTATGGAGTACTACTCCCTTGCCATACTGCCATGCAGAGTGCAGGGGCTTTAATGACTGCAACCCAAGCCCCGGGTACTTTTGGTAGCCCAGAGGTCTTTTTGCAAAGCTCCCCTTAGCCCAGGACTTGAGCTGAAGCCCCAAAAGCCCTTGTAGTGATCCAGCCCAGGTACCAGACGTTCCCCACCCTGAACAAAAGCATGTGTGCTTATGTAGCGAGGAACATTACAGTATATATTTGTGAAGCAGTATATTGGAAATGGATCCTTTGAATAGAAAATGGTATTTTATAATTTCTTAAGTGTTCCATATTTTGAGCTTTCCATATATTTGTGAAAGTTTTAGGGGACAAAGTTAAGGCTGGATTTTTATTGTAAATTGGTGAATATGAAAGACTGTATGGAAGAGGAAAATAGCTAGGTCTTTTAATTATTAATTTCCAAGATTTTTAATGTTTGGGAATCTCAATGCGTGGATGAGACGACGGTGTAGAGAGTGGGGGTTTAGATTTATTATGAACTGGGGAAACTTTTGGGAAAGGGGGAGCCTATACGGGAGGGATGGACTCCACCTAAACCAAAATGGAACCAGATCTCTGGCACTTAACATTAAAAAGGTTGTAGAGCAGTTTTTAAACTAAGGACTGGGAGAAAGCCAACGGGTGCGGAGGAGCACATGGATCAGACACAGACATCTCTTAGGGGAGGGTCTATTGATAGAGTCTCTGTGTTCTAGTAAGGAGGAAAGGATGAAAAATAAGAAAGTGTGGGTAAGATCAGATGAGACACAATCAAATGAAAAAGAGTCTAACACATCTGGAAATAGCAGAAAACTAAATAGTGACAAATTTTTAAGGGCTTATACACAAACTCTGAAGTCTAAATGATAAGATGGGTAAATTACAGCACCTCATATTAAAAGAGGATATTGATATACAGTAGACTTCCGATAATCTGGCACCTTTGGGAGGTACTCCAGTGGGGGGACTGTGATGGGTCTGCTGGACCCGCACTGTGTCCGGGGATGGGCGAGGGGTGAACCCTCTGCCGTTTTGCAGGAAGGCGGGGGAAGCCCTGCGCCGCCACCGAGAGTTTCTGGGAGGGGAGAGGAGCGGGCTCCCCACCCCCCAGACTGCAGTAGTTATCCCCGAGCAGGGGCATGAGGGGCGGCGCTAAAGGACCAACCCGGCAGCATCCCAGCTGCTCTGCTCTGCAGCTTCCCCAAGTCTGCCGCTCATCAGTTTCAGCAGCGGCAGCGGGGGGCTTGGGGGAAGAG